GGTCTGTGAGGATGAGGGGTTGTCTCTGTGAGGGGAGTGCTCAGCCTTTAAGGGATGGAGGGATGGTTGCAGGAGGAGGAGGTGTGAGGAAGCTTTGCGCCAGGGATGCGGGCAAGGAGAGGTCTGTTGTGTCAGCCTTGGAAGGGTTCAAGGCCAAGGTTGGAGGGGGCTTGGAGGAACCTGGGCTGGTGGGAGGTGGCCCTGCCCAGGGCAGGGGGCTTGGAATGAGATCATAGAATGGTTCAGGTTGGAAGGGACCATAAAGGTCTTCGAGTTCCAACCCTCTGGTGGTCTTTAAGGTCCCTTCTAACCCATCCTATGATGATGCAGTGGCCCAGGTTGCCCCGAGAAGCTGTGGCTGCCCCATCCCTGGAGGGGTTCAAGGCCAGGTTGGAGGGGGCTTGGAGGAACCTGGGCTGGTGGGAGATGTCCCTGCCTAGGGCAGGGGGTTTGGAATGAGATCATAGAATGGTTCGGGTTGGAAGGGACCATAAAGGTCTTTGAGTTCCAACCCCCAGATGGTCTCTAAGGTCCCTTCCAACCCAGACTGTTCTATGATGATGCAGTGGCCCAGGTTGCCCCGAGAAGCTGTGGCTGCCCCATCCCTGGAGGGGTTGAAGGGCAGGTTGGAGGGGGCTTGGAGGAACCTGGGCTGGTGGGAGGTGTCCCTGCCCATGGAAAGGGTTTGGAACGAAGTGGTCTTTAAGGTCCCTTCCAACCCAAAGTATTCTATGATGATACAGTGGCCCAGGTTGCCCCGAGAAGCTGTGGCTGCCCCATCCCTGGAGGGGTTGAAGGGCAGGTTGGAGGGGGCTTGGAGCAACCTGGGCTGGTGGGAGGTGTCCCTGCCCATGGAAAGGGTTTGGAACGAAGTGGTCTTTAAGGTCCCTTCCAACCCAACCCATTCTTTGATTCTCTGCTTACTGTGTGGGTGACAGGGAGAGCGCTGCAGGGTGCTGGATAAATGGAGGGGGATGTGATGGAAGGCTTGGTGCTCTTCGAGGGGTTGTTGTGCCTACCTGTGCTTATCACTGGGGCTGTGGGAGACCTCGAGTAGGTTTGGGGTCCTGTGGCAGGGCTTGCAAAGGAGAGGAGAGCACAGAGAGGCCCAAAGGAATATGGGGTTATGTTGTGTGGGGGGGATTTGGGAGCCTTGTGCAAGGTAAAGCATGGCCAGGGAGTCAGAGGAGCTCACCCTGGGGCTTGCAGGAGGTGTGGGAGGGCAGTGGGGAGTGTGGGGGATCCCAAGGGAATACTGTGCCAGGAGAGCTTGGTGTTAAATTGGGTTATGTTTCCTGAAATGGTTGTTGTGATGACCCAGCTGCAAATGGTGTAGGAGCATGTGGGGATGTGGTGCTCTGTTATTTGCAACCAGGTGGTTTGTGTTGTGAAACCTGAGCCTGGGACTGATACCCTGAAAAGAGTCAAGAGCAGCAGGAGGTGGCTGAGTCTGTGTCTGGATCATAACAAATAAAATCTCTGGATCTGAGAGAAACTGTACTTGCAATTTAACATGCAAATGAAGCATCCTGAAACGTGCAGCTGCTCTCTTTAAAAACTGATCCTCCCCATCAATTTCCTTGCTCAATACCTCATCGGTTTCCAGTCAGAAAACTGGTTCTCCCACTGGTTCTCCAGTGGGAGAAACGTGCTAAACTGGAAAAATAATAAATGAAAGACCTTTGTGTCCAGAGGAACAGGACCACAAAGATGATGAGGGGCCTGGAGCATCTTCCTTAGGAGGAAAGGCTGAGGGACTTGGGTCTTTTTAGTCTGGGCACAAACTTGAACATAAGAAGTTCCATCTCAACATGAGGAGGAAACCTCTATGAGGGTGGCAGAGCCCTGGAAGAGGCTCTCCAGAGAGGTGGTGGAGTCTCCTTCTCTGGAGACATTCAAGCCCCCTGTGGACATGTTCCTGTGGGACCTGCTTTGGCAGGGGGTTGGACTAGATGATTTCCAGAGGTCCCTTCCAACCCCATATCCTTCTGGGATTCTGAACCTGGGGATGAGTGGAGACCTCTGTACACTTCCATAGGTAGTAATAACAAGTCAAACTAGCTAGAAACTAACTTTTCATTAGAAAACACTGCTAGGGCTGTGGATGTACATGAGAGCAATGTTTTGGTTAATAACTCCCCGTGCTAGCACTCTTGCTGCCAGGAGAAGGGTTTAGACTGTCTGTATTGAGTTCTGCATGCGTGTCTTTTCTCTAGACGTGGCAAGCTGCAGAGGGAGTCAGACTTCATGGCCAGTGTAGACAGCAGCTGGATCTCCTGGGGTGTGGGAGTCTTCATTCTGAAGCCACTGAAGTGGACTCTGTCCAGCGTGTTGGGTGACAGTAAAATACCTGAGGAAGAAGAAGTTCTGATTTATGTGGAGCTGCTTCAGGTGAGTGGTGTTGAGAGCTTTCTCAAGATTATGCATCTTCAGAAAAATTATGAGTCGTTTCCTTGCAAGCAAGGAAAGATCAGGATTGAATACACCTTTTTTATTTTTGTACTCTTTAGGTACTTAAAAGCCTGTAGAGAGCTGGATGGATTATCTGGGGAATAAGAAATAGTTTATATCTGCAGATGTTCCTACAGATCCTGGGCTGCGTAGGGCAGAGTGTGGCCAGGAGGTGGAGGGAGTTCATTCTCCCCATCTGCTCTGCACTGGGGAGGCCACAACTGGAATCCTGCCTCCAGTGCTGGGCTCCCCAGTTCAAGAGGGACAGGGAACTGCTGGAGAGAGTCCAGCGTAGGGCAACCAAGATGCTGGAGGGATTGGAGCATCTCCCTTGTGAGGAAAGGCTGAGAGAGCTGGGGCTCTTGAGGCTGGAGAAGAGAAGGCTGAGGGGAGACCTTCTTCATGCTCCCAAGGATCTCCAGGGTGGGTTGAAGGAGGATGGAGCCGGACTCTTTTCCGTGGTTGCCAGGGACAGGCCGAGGGGCAACGGGCACAAGCTGGAGCAGGGGAAGTTCCACTGCAATGGGAGGAAGAAGTTGTTTGGGGTGAGGGTGGCAGAGCCCTGGCAGAGGCTGCCCAGGGAGGGTGTGGAGTCCCCTTCTCTGGAGATCTTCAAGCCCCACCTGGATGCTCCTGAGTGATGTGCTCTGGGCAGCCCTGCTTTGGCAGGGGGGTTGGACTGGATGGTCTCTAGAAGGTCCCTTCCAACTCTGACAATTCTATGATTTCATGAAACTATTATAATGACTTTTCTCTGACTTCCAAGAAACGGGAGGGGCAAGCTTGCTTGCTTCTGGAGATCTCAGGGTTGAGTTTGTGCAAGTGGGGTACACGAGGGGAACTTGCAGACTGAGTCCCATCTGTTGCAGGGAGAAACGGGTGACGTACAAGTTGCTGGCTGTCAGTCCAGTGTATCATCGAGCTGAACTCACATGTGCGTTATTAAAGGCTGCTTTCACTTCAGAGGGTGTGCTTTCAGCTTGCCTTTTCAGTCCTGATAAGAACTGCCCTTTCTCCTGTCAAAGGTCCTTTTCTTTGGCACATTGTTAGCGCTGGACCCTTGTGAATTCACATAACTCATTGGTGCTCAGTGTAGCTTGGACGCTGCAGCGCTGGCAGTCCCTGTGGTACTCAGTGACTGTTAGAATTAGTGCCAAGACTTGCTGCTATTGTATGCAAGTGGTGTCTAAACGACCAGGACGAGCAGAAATACAGGAGCTCTTGAGATGTGTTCCTCTATCTGGAGTTACTCCAATAGCAGAGGGTGTCTTCTCTCTGCAGTGGGTGTCCCACAGCCTTTCCAAAGAGTACATGCAGGGGGGAGGAGAAAAACCTTTTAAAAAGGTGCCTGGAAAACCACAAACCTTGATGTGGGTCTTCTCTCTGCAGTGGGTGTCCCACAGCCCTTCCAGAGGGTACATGCAGGGGGGAGGAGAGGTTCCTCTATTTGTAGTTACTCCATTAGCAGAAGGTGTCTTCTCTCTGCAGTGGGTGTCCCACAGCCTTTCCAAAGAGTACATGCAGGGGGGAGGAGAAAAACCTTTTAAAAAGGTGCCTGGAAAACCACAAACCTTGATGTGGAATCTGGGGCTGGATGGAAAGGGTTATTTATTATCTATGGTCCCTTCCAACTCTAGAAATTCAGTGAAATTCAGTGAAATTTCTATAGTCTTAAGTGGACCATAGCTCTCACTTGCAGTGGGGAAAACTTTTCTTTTTCCTCTGCCCAGGGAGAAATGATGCAAAATGTCTCGATGAGTAGAATTACAGCGTGGCTTAAAGGAAAAAACTTTTGTTGGGTTTAAGAACTTCAAGAAGCGCAGAGGAGGTTCAGTTGCTGCCTGTGAGGTTCTTCTGTTGTTCCATTTGCAGAGGGAATGTGAAAAGTGTAGGGAAAGCTGTAACATTTTTAATTCCATTAATGGTGATATTTTTAAAGCACTGGAGCCGCTTTTGAGTGCTATATACAACTCATTCTGAAATTTTTTCTGGCCCAAAACATGATGCTTTTTAACTTTTCACCTCCAGTGTGTGGGAGGAAGCAGGTGTGGACTTGGCAGTTGTTGTGGGAGCGCTCAGTAAACTCACAGCCAGCCCCGTTGCTTCCTTTCAGGAGAAGGCAGAGGAAGTTTATCGCCTGTATCAGAACTCGGCGCTCTCTTCTCACCCTGTCGTTGCCCTCTCCGAGCTGCGTTCCCTCTGTGCCAACGTTTGTCCAGATGAAAGGACCTTCTACTTGTTGCTTCTCCAGCTGCAGAAGGAAAAGAGGGTCACCATCCTGGAACAGAACGGAGAGAAGGTACAGGGTAAAGGTGACTGCTTTTGGGTGGTATAATCCCCGTCTCGCATTTCATCTGGCTGGAGAGATTTATTGGCTAAATATGGGCGCTCTTTGATTGGAAAAGTCAATTCCTATGTACTCCAACATCATAACCTGTGCAGAGGCTCTTGAAAAGTGAGCCCAATACACCGTTGGGAGCACCAGGACAGCTTTAAATCTTCAGGGTGTCCCATTAAAGCTTTCTGTTTTCACACTGCTGTTACTTGATCCTCTCTAGTTTAATATTAGATTATTTGGGGATTGGCATGTCCTCATCTCGTTACAAGGCTTAAGGCTGGGGGTGTAAAAACATCTTTTCCTTCCATCAGAGTGACAATATCTCTAGTGCAGGCACAAACTCTGGAGATGTGGCTCAAGCTTGGGGTTCTTTTTTTTTCTGTAGATAGTGAAGTTTGCCCGAGGTCTTCATGCCAAAGTCTCCCCCATGAATGACGTGGATATCGGGGTGTATCAGTTGATGCAGAGCGAACAACTGCTGTCACAGAAGGTGGAGTCCCTTTCCCAGGAAGCAGAGAAGTAATTTGGGGACGGGTGGTGGGGAAGAACATCCGTGTGCTGTGGAACTTGTGTCTTCCTGTACCGTAGTTAGAAATGAAGCCACTTTCTAAAGTGCAAGTCATTCTTTCCTGTTCAGTAAACACGGCGGCCGCAGTCATGTGGCTGGGGCAGGTTTTCCAGTCTTTGTTCCCTATCTCTAAGAAAACAACTTGCAGTGAGTGGATGTCAAAAGATTTTTTTCAAAGATTTGGAATATGTTCAAGGGCTATTTGAGGATCAACCATATCATAAGAGTGGTTGTATCCGAAATGTGTTGTTACTTGGTCACCCCTGGAGTAGAGCAAGGTAGTGAGGATGGTTTGTGAATTAACTACTACTTGCAAAGGAATAAGCTGCTTTTCCTTGTTGCATCTGTACAGGTGTAAAGAGGATGCTCGGAGTGCTTGTAGAGCTGGGAAAAAGCAATTGGTAAGTGATATTCTCCTCGGGAGGAGCTACAAGGGAAGTGTTTGGAAGCTGGTCCATAATTGTGATAATAACCAGGGTTAGACATTACATACTTAAACTTAGACCTCTTGAACTGCTGCTTCTGAGGCTCCTTGAAGTGAAGATAAGAATGTATTTGGCCAGAGTGATGTGATGAAGAGAAAGGGAAATACCTAACTCTTAAAAACCAGCTGGGGGGGTGGTGTTGCCACACAGGGATTACTATGATTTTTTTTACACTTCCTTTGACTGCTGCCTGCTTTGTGATCCAAGCCTGTGTGTATCTGTTGTCTCCAGGCCCTGAGATGTTTGAAATCCAAACGAAGGACGGAGAGGCGCATTGAAGAGCTTCATTCCAAGCTGGATGCAGTGCAGGGCATCCTGGATCGTATATACGCCTCCCAGACTGACCAGATGGTACCATGTTAATTTTGTCTTGTATTTTCTCACTTTTTAACCCTGCTCTTCTCTTTTGTGCTGCTTTACCTGCAGCTCGTGCCTCAGGGGTGTGAGCTGGGGTGAGACTTGATTCTCTGCTCTAGAAAACAACAGATCTGCTTGGGGCTGCATTTTCTGCTTTTGTTTCTCTGGGGGGTCCTGTTAATCTTAACAGGTTTTGAGAAAAGCTCACTATGCCTGTTGGTTGTTCTTAGCATTGTCCATTTTCCTCTTTTTTTTTAAAGGTATTTAATGCCTATCAGGCTGGTGTGGGAGCTCTGAAACTCTCTATGAAGGACGTTACTGTGGAGAAGGCAGAGAATCTGGTGGATCAGATACAAGAGGTACTGAAATAAGAGCACATCTAAATAAATAAGCTTGTAGTGTGTAGATGTACACAGCAAACTTGCTCAGCTATTAATGCTGAGGCTTCTGGCACTGTTAGCTTTCTGTCACCAGAGCAAACTCACTTAATCTTGATCTTTTTAGACCAGCAAGGGAAGGTCTTCAAACAACCACATCTGGGCTTGTGTATTTGCATTTATTGCTAGCTAGTAATCACAATTTACATTAAATCTGTGTATTTCGTGTGTTCTTTTGGTTAGCAATATTGTGCAGCACACAGCTCTCCTAGAAAACGTTTAGGGAGATGTATCAAAAAGAAATACAAGTGGTATCTTTGCAAGTTGGAATGCAAATACATGCATTAAAATGGGGTTTTAAACTGCCTAACCCATAATCTTCTGCAGTTCAGTAAAGGAAAGGAGACAAGCTGATTCTGAAGGAATTGAAATGAAGAGAGTAATCTGTCTGCATAAGCTGGTGTGGAAAACAGAAAAGGATTACTTTTTTAGCAACTTCAGCCTCCGTGTACTTAAATGGCAACTTCAGCTACCGAGCTGAGGGGCTGTCTGTAAAATTTCATAGCTGAGGTGTATTGGTCCTCAGCTTCCTTATTTTGTTATCCTCAGCCGCAATACAGGCTCGTTACTGATGTGGAAAAGCTAAAATTAGGGAGATTTTTCTCTCTTTTTTGGTCTGAAATTCTGTTTCAGGTTTGATCCTCAAATGTGCTACTTGGTTTTGCAAAACTGAAATAATAATCCATGTTACTGCTTTTGCTACTGAAAAACAAACCCTCTGTGTTTTTTCCTCAGCTTTGTGATACCCAAGATGAAGTAGCCCAGACTCTGGCTGGAGTGGGGATCAATGGGCTAGGTATGTTTGGGGGTTTTTAGCCTTTGCTTCTCTTCTGTTGCCACTGCTGGCCCTCTGAGCTGAGCCCTTCCCTGCTCCTTCCCCACGGATGTCTCATCCCCCCCATCCCTTCAGTGAGAGAAGAATCACTCACTGAAATACCAAAGATGTTGCTTCTGGTGCCTTGGGAGGAAGCGAGGGCTGACAAGGGCTTCTCAGACAGTGGGTTGAAAAGGAATGGGCATTTGGGCATCTCCAAATCCTTGCAGTTCTCTAAGTGCTGGTGGATTTTAGTTCAGAGTTGCGTAGCGTTGATCTAAATCTATTTTTAGAGTGGCTGCTGCTTTGTTTTTTTAAGTGATGATCTTTTTCCTCAGGCTGCAGCCTGTTTGTCTCTGCTGAAATGTTTTCCTGCCCTTAAGTGCCTCAGGTTCTAAAGGAATAGTTTCTCCCTGAGATCAGGACTGAATTTCCACCTTTAGAAGAAGAACAGGGAGTTCCTTATTGTTATGAGTAATGATGGATGGGGGTAGTAATGCCTCTTTTAAACTTGGACTACAGTCTGTGCTGCAAAGATGCTACTTAATTCTGCTTGGAACTGACTGTTTTCTTTCATCAGCAGAGATGGACACTGAGGAACTTGAGAAGGAGTTGGACAGTCTCCTCCAGGACTCGACCAAGGAGCCTGTAGATTTGCCTCCCGTTCCCCAGAAGGTGCTAAATCCCCCCATTTCTGATGCTGAGCTTGAAGCTGAGTTGGAAAAGCTCTCTCTTGCTGATGGAGGTACGGACGACGGGAAAGTCGTGTTAATTAGCTGCTATTAGGATCCACGACAGCCTTGCAAAATGAAACACTGAAGTCTGAGCCAGGATCTTTCCCACTTCCAGTTACACGGTTGGAAGCAAGCTCTCCCAGTATCCCTGCCAGGAGCCCAGTGGCATTGTCTTTCACTGCCAGGCTCAGCCTTGAGAGAGCTGCCCTCTTTGCTAGAAATTCTGCCTGGGGTAAAGGGAAAGTCAAAGCCCCTGTGAGGGAGCTGGTGCTTGGACTTGTTATTTTTTGTCATCTTTTAACAAAGCCAAGCAGTGTTTTTTGTATGTTCTGGTAAAATGATAAAGTAGACCAGCATTTTCATGCCAAGCACTCAGCATCTTCTCTGTCCTAGAATGCTTACTACCTGTTACAGGTATGGTACCCACTTAAACTAGTACTAAATAAGTTTTATTTAATAACAGTGAGTGACATGAGTTTATGGGCTGGAATTGCATGCTGAGTTTTCCCTAAACTTATCTTGGACAGGGGTAAATAGACTCTAATTTTCCTTTCAGGAATCTGTTAATGAATGGACAGGTTCACTAAATTATGGACACAGCCTGTCCATATTGTTTTCTTCCTACTTGGGCAGCTGATATTCTCCAGTTTAAGAGCAGAACACTCAGCATCCCATGTCAAACGTGGAGTGTGGGTTTCCAAGAGAGTTCAGTTGAATATTGAAGCACTGAGGCACTTGGAAACTGTGTTTCTTAGTTATGACATGGTTGATCTGATCCCTCTTACTGGTGAAAACTGATCTCTTTCTGTTGCAATTTTCTTTATAGATTTGGCACAAAAGACTCCCTCTGCTTCCTCTGAACCCAAAACAGCTCTGGGACTGAATCTCTAAAGACCCAACCGAATCCTGTTGCTGCAGTTTGAGAAGTTGTCTTAAGGTTCCTTAACTAATGACTGGAACTTCTGGGGAGAGGGGTCACGTTTCCCTGTTCTTCATGGATATCCCTTGGCTCAGCAACAGGATCTCCTGCCATGACAATCCACTCTGGAACTGGCCCCAGTTGGTGTTTGTCATCTCTGTGCCAACATCTGCACTGGTCTCAAATTGACTTGTCGATCCCAAGTCACTCTGCGACATCCAGATTTTCAGATTTTCCCCTTCTGGGAACACAGTTCACTATTCTGCCCGGTGAAGATAAAACTCTTCTATGTCCATAACAAGTGCTCGGGTTTCGATCCCAAGTCACTCTGCGACATCCAGATTTTCAGATTTTCCCCTTCTGGGAACACAGTTCACTATTCTGCCCGGTGAAGATAAAACTCTTCTATGTCCATAACAAGTGCTCGGGGGTTTTTTTTGTTTTGTTTTTTTGGTTTTTTTATTTCTTTCTTTCTTTGCTGTGGCTGATGTTGAGAATCTGAGTTGCAGCGATATGGCAGTTGCTCAACATTTGGCTGTTTGTGTGGTTGTTGAAAACACTTGGCACATAGGTACTGTCCTTGACATAATTTATCTGCAACGAGCTTAAACACCTTATGATAGTTCTCTCCCTCCCTGTCTGTATTTTGCACGCTCGTGGACAACTAGACACTAACTGTTCAATTGTAGGAGATTTTGGTGCTGCTCTAGGGGGCAGCAATTGCAAGCACAAGACAAAAATAATTCCTCTTTCTGTAATGATACTAAGGCCTTAAAAGGGAGACCTGCAAAAGATTTCAAATGAAGGAAGTTTCTCACTCTGCCTGTTGTGCTGAAGCCTTGCAGTCACTATAATACAATTTTCCGCTTGCTCTTACTTGAAATTGGAGCTGTTTTGCTATTTTTTTTCTGTCTTCCCTGTTTGCAAAACTTCTTGGGAACTGCAGGGTGATCTGCTTTGAGCTCTGCCCTTGAGTGATGTGGGGTGGGAGGAGAAGGGATGCATCTTTTTTTTCCCTTTCTGAGAAGACAGTTCTGTGTAACAGCCTTGGCTTTGTCTTCGGTCTTGATGATGCAATTCCACATGATCGTGGGTTACCAGAAAGTCTAAAACAAACCCCTGTGAATGTTTCTAATGAGAAAAAAAGAAAAAAAGCAGCACAACAGCTGAGGATGTTTTTTAGAGGCTGTCTATACCCATCAGAAGTGAAATCCTCATCTTTTGCAGGTCCCTTTTTTATTACGCGTGTGCACACGGACGAGCAGAGAGCCCGTTACCTGCCGTGAATAAATGAATTCTTTCAGGAGGGGAATGTGCTCCAAACTGGGCTTTTCTGCACGCAGAGCCTGTGCCTGGCAGGGGAGCGACGTGCTGCTCTATAAAACCAGTCCTCCTCTCCCCACACCTCTCCCTGACTCGGAATGTATCCCTGTCACCAACCATCCTGTCACCGGACGCTGCCTCCGCTACCCAGGTCCGTTGCCGGAGCCATGGGGATGGCAGCTTGGGTGAGTGATAAACTTATTGACCACCCACCCACCTTTTAGCCCCAGAGGACAGGGGGGAAGAAATTACAGGTCAGTAGGGTCTTGTGGTGGCTCTGGCTGCTTTTGTCACTTGGTCCCAGAGTGCAGACTGCTGCCAGGGAAGGGATGCTGTAGCCACGTAATGGTGTATCCGGGCTGCACATGGAATTATTTGAATTGACTTGAAGCTCTGTATTCCTTTCCTTTGTAAGTAAACGGGAGAAAAAACCACCGTGTTTTCTGCCTGTGTGTAATAAAGGGGAGGGGAGGAACGGAACCAGAGTCCTTTGTGGTGCCTCCTTTTCTTTGCCTGTGTCACAGATCGCTGCCGCGTTCGTGGTGACCCCGCTCTGCTTCTGCATCTGTAAAACTTGGCTGCTGAAAGTAAATGCTGGGTTTGGGGTACTTCGTTTCACCAGTAGCCTTTTGGAAAGGCTTGCTGCTTTGGTTTTTTTTTTTCCTTCACCTTGTCTTATCTTTCCACTTCTTTTTTCATCGTTGAGCATCTCACAACTGTGCAGTTCAAAGCTCACACGCGACACTGGTCTTTGCCTGAGGCACCTCGTTGTGGCCATGGAGGAAACTGCTACACTGGGGAAATTAAATCCCCCTTGGTTCTCTACTAAATAATATGTAAACCTTCTTTTGGGACAGTTTTTGTCCAGCTCCTTGTCCTGCTTATAATTAAGCAGCACAGCTGAGGGGACCGATGCTGTTTTTTCCCCCTCTGTTTGAAGACAATCAATCTAAATAGAGTAACCTGATGCATAAACTACTTAAAACAAATTATTTCTCCTTCCCTCTGAGACCAAGATGTAAAGGTTGAGCCTGTTTCCTCACGAGAGGTCAGTACAGCCAGTATCACTGGATTTTTATTTTAAAGGATATGATTCCTCCCCTGCTATCAAAACTTGGCCATAAAGTCCAAAGTGATTTCCTGGAGGAATAAACACTCCTGTAATTCGTGCCCTTGTGGAAGAGGCATTGAAGAGTTAAACCCAAGCAGCTGCCACTTTATTTGAAGTGGCTTGTAATTTTCTTCCTTTGATGCAAAGTGGGGAATGTAATCAAGATGGCTGAATAGAGAATTTTAAGTATATTTTGGTGAGACAGCAGGGAAGGGAAATAGAGGGCAGCTTCTTGCTGGGCGAGGAAATTAAATATAAAAAAACCCCGAGAGCTGAATTGCCACCAAACTGGAATCTTATCATACTTGAGTGCTGTTTAAAATAGTATTTAACTTGATTCTCAGAAAAAATAGCAGCTGCTTATGCAAGGAAATGTAGAAACTGTTTAGTAATATAATGCAGCAGAACAGTTTGCTCGGTAGAAAAGATTGCAGGCAGGAGGAGTTAATCTGTGAGTGTGAGTAACTGCCTGTGTTCTGTTTGAATAACTGTATTTTATTTGCCTCTGACAACAGAGTTAAGGGTCCTTTCTTCATTAGGGGTGTTCTGAGATGCACAAAAATTGGGTAATGGATCCCTTTCCATCCTGTTTTCCCCCAGCTTTGAGCGTCTGCTCCAGCATAAGCAGTGTGCGAGGGCGAGATCCTTTCTTGGATGTTCCTAAGCTCCTGAGGAGGAGGAGGAAGGCTTCCTCGAGGAATAATTTCCTGGAATTCCTTCTGGCTTGGCATGTGCAACCTCAGCGTGCTGTGAGCTCCCACTCGGAGCCTCTGCTGTGATTTAATGCTGTGTGACACGTCACCTGCCATCGCTGGTGGTGTGAAAGCAGCAGTGAAGGCATCCTGGTGTTTGTGTCGTGTGACTTAAATCTCAAAAAAATCTTTGTGGCTGGTGTAGGGAATGTGAGAAAAATGTCCATTTGGGGCAGAGGATGGTTCATCTGCGTGAATCCTTCCCTGGGGCAGTGCACTGCCAGAGTCCTGTGGGGTCAGGGCAATTAGATTATAGAATAGTTTGGGTTGGAAGGGACCTTAAAGACCATCCAGTCCCTGGGACACCTCCCACCAGCCCAGGTTGCTCCAAGCCCCCTCCAACCTGCCCTTGAACCCCTCCAGGGATGGGGCAGCCACAGCTTCTCGGGGCAACCTGGGCCAGGCTCTCACCACCCTCAGGGGGAAGAATTTCCTCCCAAAATCTCATCTCCATCTCCTAATTTTTGGTTTAAAACTGTTCCTTCTCCTCCTAGGGCTCCCCTCCCTCACCAAGGGTCCCTCCCCAGCTTTCCTGGAGCCCCTTGAGGGACTGGAAGGGGCTCCAAGGTCTCCCTGGAGCCGACCCCCATCTCTCCACACTCTCCTCTACAACTCCCTGAAAGGAGGGTGTAGAGAGATGGGGGTCGGTCTCTTCTCTCAAGTCACAGGCGACAGGACAAGAGGAAATGGCCTCAAGTTGCGCCAGGGGAGGTTCAGGCTGGATATTAGGAACAATTTTTTCACTGAAAGGGTTCTCAGCCCTTGGAATGGGCTGCCCGTGCAACCTGGGCCAGGCTCTCACCACCCTCAGGGGGAAGAATTTCCTCCCAAAATCTCATCTCCATCTCCTAATTTTTGGTTTAAAACTGTTCCTTCTCCTCCTAGGGCTCCCCTCCCTCATCAAGGGTCCCTCCCCAGCTTTCCTGGAGCCCCTTGAGGGACTGGAAGGGGCTCCAAGGTTTCCTCAGAGCCTTCTGTTCTCTAGGCTGAACCCCCCCAATTAAATTCTCTAATTTAACCCTCTAATTAAATTCTGGTGAGGAGAAGACCCAAGCCTTCTGAGCCGGCTGTTGGTGCCATCTAGCTTCCTTTCCTGGGGTAGCCACTTGGCAGGAGCAGGCTGCAGACGCTGGAACTAATGAGGCTTAATTAAACAAAGCCTTCAGAACGAAGTGCTGTGACATGCTGGCAACAAGTTTCTTTAACCTGTCACAAAGCAAGCGTGCTGTTTGCTTTGGGAGTGAGCTGGATCTTCAAGAGAATAATTGCACTCTTGTTTGAAAGTTGTTCTTGAGCTTGCCCTGGGTTTTATGCAAAGCCTGGGTTACGGGGTCAAGTTAATTAAATCTGGGTGCAGCTGAGCCCACTCTGTGTAGATTGGCTGCTGCTTTCTTCAGAAGTGCTGGCTGGGCCAGGCAAAGGGCATCGTGATACACTCCAGCAACCGTGGATGGAATGAGTGAATTAAAGGCTGAACTGCTTTGGGGTTTTTTTTTTCCCAGTTTGATTTGGAAAGCTTTTTGCTGCTCTTTCCCACCTTGCCCAGTTTACCAGCCAGGCGTGTTTCTCAGGAGCAGGTCCCCCCTTTGAGCAGCCCTTACAGAGCTGGCTCTCGAGGAAACTCACCTCCTGAAGGATTTTTCTGATATTTCTTTGATCAGAGGAGCCCTTTTGCTTACGGGGTGGTTAGTCACCGAGTGATGGATGGGATCTTCTTGCATCCAAGGTCAGCCCTGGTTCTTAATACCGTGCTATTCCTCCTCTCAACACAACAGGGGAGAGTCTTGTGGAACTGTTTGCTTGTCTGGAGCGAGAGTTTTATGGGGCAGGAGGAGAAGTGGTTTTAGGGGAGATACCCCTCCTCGTTCCCCAATTCTGCAGTACCACATCACCTGTGACTTTCCAGCCCCAGCAGGCTGGGGTTGCTCAGGTCTGCTCAGCCCCTGTGGTCTCAGAGGGATGGGTGGGAAGGGCAGCAAGGAGACCTCCTGGGGGTGACCTCCATTTGCTGAGGGGGCTGGTACCCTGCTGGAAAGGCATCTTGATTTTTCCAATTAATATTTTCAGCTGTCGGCCGATCACTGAGGTGAGAGCTGATGTGGAACTAGTTAGGAATTAAATATAAAGAAAGAATGATGAACTTAAAAGAGAACCTACCTTATATCACTGAAAATACCCATGTTTGTTTATCAAAAAATCTTATCACGGTGATGTTCAGTACCCTTTCTGGTCCTACACAAAACCTCTACGGAAAGACTGGCTGAAAACTGTGCTGTGCCTGATACTTTCAGAAAGGAAAAGCTTTCAGATTTGTATGAGTTTTTTTTTTTTTTTGCGTTGTGTTTTTTGCCTGTGGACTTGAAAGAATTTTGCAGTGGAAAGTCAATGCCAGTTTTGCACCATTTGCAGCTCGGGATGGGGAGAGTAACTGGTTTAGGGTCGTATATCTCAATGCCTGTGCAGTGAATTTAGGCATCTCTTATTCTGAGATCAAGCACGCTAGATTTCCATCCTGATTTGCATTGAAGACCCTCAAATCCCACTTGACTGTTATTTTACCCCTTCAATCCTATTGCCTAATTTCCCAAGCAACTTACCCTGCTGGCTGCAGGCTCCCAATGTCCTCCTTGGCTCGCAGAGCGACCCACCTGCAGCGTTTGGGGACCTGGTGTGTGGGCAGAGAAGGATCTCACCTGGGTGAAATGCAGAGGGAAGAGCAGAGCAGCAGTTGTTTCACCAGCAGAGAAGGTCTGTCTGCAAGAGTAGAGAGAGTCCCATTCCCTCTTAGGTCCAGTCTGGCCAGTGGAGAAAAGGGATTGACTGGGAATTCTGTAGCAGGCACCGGCTCAACAAGGGATGAAGAGCTTCTGAGAGAGGAGAGGGAGGAAGGCTTGCAGCAAAGCCCTCCCAGCTCGCTCGAGTGCCGGAGGTGAGTGCTGGCTCTTTGTGAGAGACAGGCTGCGAAGAAAGAAAAGTGGGGTGGGAGGCAAGAGAGGGGAAAAAAAAACATCAAACGCCACGTTGTCAGCAGGAGATTTGGAAAGGAATCAGAGCTTCAAGAGCTTTTCCTTGTGCCAGGTTGTCTGGCTGGGTGTGAGAGCTGGGAGGACGGCAGTTGGTGCTTCTGAGAGGTCAGAGGAGCAGCTAAAAGGGGGTTTTGGAGGCTGATGGGGACTTGAACAGCTGTGGAACCTCTCAAGGGACGGGAACGAAGGGGAGAACCCATGGATGCTTTTTACTCCTCCGCGGAAGGAGACGGGCAGGATGTGATCAATGACACCAGTGGTAAGAAGAGCTGGGCAGAGGAAGGCAACTCCAAGTTGTCCTTCCGTGTGGTGACAGCTACTTTGCTTTTCCTCCTCATCCTCTCCACGCTCCTGGGCAACACCCTGGTGTGTGTGGCTGTGGTCAAGTTCAGACACCTGCGCTCTAAGGTCACCAATTTCTTCGTTATCTCCTTGGCGGTGTCCGACCTCTTTGTGGCCGTCCTGGTGATGCCCTGGAAGGCTGCCACCGAGGTGGTGGGGTTCTGGCCCTTTGGGGCTTTCTGTGACGTTTGGGTGGCTTTCGATATCATGTGCTCCACAGCTTCTATCCTCAACTTGTGCATCATCAGCATGGACCGGTACTGGGCCATTTCCAACCCCTTCCGCTACGAGAGGAAGATGACCCAGCGCGTGGCTTTCATCATGATCGGGGTGGCTTGGTTACTGTCCCTCTTGATTTCCTTCATCCCCGTGCAGCTGAAGTGGCACAAGGATCGTGAGCTCTTTAGCCAAGAGGAGCCAGGTTTTAATGTCACCTGGGAGGAGGAGAACTGTGATTCCAGCCTCAACAGGACTTACGCCATCTCATCTTCCCTCATTAGCTTTTACATCCCCGTTGCCATCATGATTGTGACCTACACCCGCATCTTCCGCATTGCCCAGCGGCAGATCCGCAGGATCTCCTCCCTGGAGAGGGCGGTGGAACATGCCCAAAACTGCCACGGCAGTGACTGCCCTCATGAGGCCTCCCTGAAGAACTCCTTCAAGAGGGAGACCAAGGTCCTCAAGACCCTCTCCATCATCATGGGTGTCTTTGTCTTCTGCTGGCTGCCCTTCTTTGTGCTCAACTGCATGGTGCCCTTCTGTAACCTTGACCTCCACCAGCCAGGGGAGCTACCTTGCGTCAGTGAGACTGTCTTCAACATCTTTGTCTGGTTTGGGTGGGCCAACTCTTCCCTCAATCCGATCATTTATGCCTTCAATGCAGATTTCCGGAGAGCTTTTGCCACCATCTTGGGCTGTGGTTGCCTTTGCCCCAACAATGCAGTGGAGACGGTGAACTTCAGCAACGAGCTGGTCTCCTACCACCACGACACCACCTACCAGAAGGAAGTGGTGACCCTCAGCTACCCCCAGCTTCTCCCCCACGCTGCTCTGCAGATGGAAAGCCACGAGGTGGCCTTTGAGAAGGTTTCTCAGGTCTCCGAGCCCTCTCACAACACCTTTCCTGCGGTGATGCACGTGGAGTGCGACGCGGCAGTTTCGCTGGAGAAGATCACACCTTTCACCAGCAACGCCTTCGATTGAGAACAGGGTTGGGAAAAGGGTGGTGGGATGGTCTTGGGGAAGGATGGAAGCAGGGACACCATTGCAGTTGCCTATTTTCTGAGGAGTTTACATGGATATTGTACTCTGGGCAGTGGTTTGCGTTAGTAAGTGTGGAAAGGTCAGAGTGACTTCCCAGATGGCTCAGGGGGTTCAGATGTGTGGGTTTTGTAGCTCGGATTCAGACCCAACCTGGGTGGGCAGCAGAGACCTGTGTTGCTGCTCTCTCTAGTTGACCCCATGGAAAAATGCTTTCTGCAGAAGATGAAAATGCAAGGGCTTGAATTCCACTTTCCTTCAGCTGAGAAAGCAAAGACTTGTGTGGGGTCTGTTGAGCCTCTCCTCTGTAGCCCATGAAGGAAAAAAGCAGCTGTGCTTGTGGGGAGAGAGGCTGGTTTTGCCACTGCCTGTGCCCAAAGGGCCATCAACCCAAGGTTGCTCAGTGGGCACAAGTCAAGTGGCAAATACTCTCTTGGTGATAAGTGCCACTGGTAGAAGTAGATAATGCCACCTTGTGCTTGGTGGGATGGTGCTTTGGGAAGCACCTTCAGCTTGGGAAACCCACATTTCTGGTGGGCTGTGCAGGAAGGAGACAACGGCCGTGGTAGGATAACTCTTAGGTTCAGCTCTTCAGTAGCCCCTTCCAGGCCCTAAAGGGAGCCTACAGGAGAGATGGGGAGGGACTCTTCATGAGGGAAGGGAGTCCTAGGAGGAGGGGGAAGGGTTTGCCCCTGAAAGAGGGGAGATGGAGCTGAGATGTGGGGAAGAACTTCTTTGGTGTGAGGGTGGTGAGAGCCTGGCCCAGGTTGCCCAGAGAAGCTGTGGCTGCCCCATCCCTGGAGGGGTTCAAGGGCAGGTTGGAGGGGGCTTGGAGCAACCTGGGCTGGTGGGAGGTGTCCCTGCCCATGGAAGGGGGTGGCACTGGGTGGTCTTGAAGGTCCCTTCTAGTCTATGACTCTATGACTGTCTCTCTGTTGCTTGGGCAAATGATCCTGCAAGTCTGGGCAAGAAGGCAACCACCTTTCCTGGAGCCCCGAGGCTCTGCTTGGCAGCAGCTTTGTCTGGAGCGTGTTGCAGGGGAGGATTCACCACCTTAAAGGTCTGCTCTGGCCCCTGGAGCAAGAACCAGCCTCTCTGAGGTGGGACGTGCACAGCAAGAGCAGTCTGGGATGAACATAAACCGTGTTTTAGCCCCAGGATTTTGGGCTGTTTGCTCGAAGCCTTTGGGAAGGAGCGTGTCTGAGCCCTCCCGTCCCTGAGAGCAGAGGAGAAAAGCAGATGTTAAAGCAAGAACTTTGCTGGTTTGGTTTCTGCGCCTCCACCACATCTCCCACCAGTCAGGTCCCCCCCCCTTTCCTTTTCCTAGACTGTTTCTTCCCCCCTTTTACTTTGTTCTCCCTCCAATTCCCTTCCTCCCCCAGTTCATTAAGGATCCTGCCTCCCTTTGCTGTCTCATTTCAATAATAATGGCTCCTTCAGAAGCTCTCCTTGCTCACCTCTACTCTTTAATTAGCCTCCCCTGTGTATGGGAGCTGGTGTCTGCTTAGCTGGGGGTAGGAATAGGGAGTGAACAGCCCCCAGCTGTGACACCAGTGACTTTGGAAAGGTGTTTTGATGGGTGCCTGGTTAAACACCACCACAGCGAGGGGCACATCCACCTCGTCTCGAATCGGAGACACCTTTAGCTCTCTGGCACAGCAGAAAAGCCTCTTCCCCTCCTCTTCCTCCCTCCTCTCCCTCCCCGGCAAACGCTAACAAAGAGAAAAATATCTTTAGCTCTCTGGCACAGCAGAAAAGCCTCTTCCCCTCCTCTTCCTCCCTCCTCTCCCTCCCCGGCAAACGCTAACAAAGAGAAAAATCAGAAAGTGATAATTACAGAGTAACGGTAATTATTCAATAGAGCCCCATTATAGTCAAGTTACAGCACAATCAGCGTGGGAGGGGAGCAGAGCTCACCGTGTCTCCAAGGTCGATGCTTGGATTTTTTTTTTGGGGGGGGGAAGCACTGATAAGGCTCAATTTCATTTATAACCATCTCCCCGCGTGGCAGCGGTGGCTCGTCGGCAAAATCTAGAGGGTCTGGGGGCTTTTCAGCTCTGGGGGGGTGGCAGAGACTAAACTGGAGAAGGAGTTGTTGTTTTGGGATGGGGACAATCCTCTGGTGTGTTTCTAGGAGGCCCAACTCCACCGATTTTATTTGAACATCACTGCAATCTATATAATTATTTATCAGACTAAATGCAGGTGTTGGAGCACGTGTGTGGTTGTGTTTTACTTCGGGACTCCTGGCTTGGAGGCAAGAAGGACTCAGAATACCCAGCTTTTTTGTTATTGTTATTCAAAACAGTACTGTCCTGGCCTCCCTGGCTTTGTAGAGTTTACTGAGACTCACCTTGGGGCTAAATTTTGGGGATAAATCCACGCCTATTTGTAAAGTGAGTGGAGAAAAGCAATTAGCTTAATGGATTGTTGTTACCAAAGATGCCATTCCCTGATGATGATAACCATTCCCTGATGATGATAACCATTCCATGATGATGATAATAACCATTCCGTGATGAGCTGCAGGGTGAACCTGCAAAAGCAAGACAATGGAGAGGGTGATATGAACCCTTTTTTTTTTTTTTGTCCAATTATTGTCTGCATTTAATTTGTGTCAGGCAACACTGCCCCAGTCCCCAGCTCCAAAGCACTGGGGCTCTTCTACCAACGGTTCAGGGCACCAGCCCCCTCGGCTGGACCTTTTACGGTGACGTAGGTGGCTGGTACCTCCTGGTATCACATCAGGAAAGACGAGGTGGTGACGATGAGCTACACCAAAAAATTTCCAGGTTGAGGAACAAGCCTCTGCATGTCACAGACCTTTTGGATAACAGCCCCAAAATGATGTAATGTGGGCTTGCTTTGGCAGAAATACACCTTATCTTCAGAATGGGGTTCTTTTTTTGTTGTTGTTCTTTTTTTTTTCCCCCTTCCTTTGGGTTTTCCACACAGGTATCCACCAGGAAGCATCCTCCTCCAACCATCCTCAAGTCACACCACGCACTGCTACGTCCCTGCCCGAATTTGAGGTGGGTGCCATGAATCCCTACCCGGGGCTGATCCTGGTGCAGAATTCCACCACCCAGGACTCAGATACGCTGTAATCCCAGTCTGCTTTCTGGAGCTCTGCTTTTTTTGCCCTGGGTGAACTGGGAGCAGCAGGGTTGGCTCACTCTGCAGACAGGTTGTGAGGACCGGGTGGTTTTTCAGGTTGTAAGCCCCGAGCAGTCTAGAGAAGAATAAAATGAGTAAATAGGAACTCAAATCCAAGTCTCTGGATTGTGGAATAAGGTAACAAACTGGCATTTCCAATCCTCTGAGTGTCCCTCAGCTGCTGTGGAGGTACCAGGGCCCCAAAATTATCTCGTTAGGTGCCTGGTTATGTGAAGAGAGAGGTAGCCAGGACCCAGCCGGCACAGCTCAAGTGTCCAAAGCCACTCACTAAGCCTGGATACGCAGGGAATAGGGGAAAAGAAGCATTAAAATCTCAATTTAAATGGAAATTGGAGGCTGCTCCTGGGAGAGAAGGGGCAGCAGCAGCTGGTAGCTTGTCCTGAGAGCTCCAGGGCTGGTGGGATTCATGCTGTGACTTGGACATGAGCTCTTGGGGTGGCCAGAATTTGGCTCCAAAGTGGGTATTTGGGGAGGGAGGGCTCAAATGCCACCCAGCTGGGGACAGAGGTGGCTTCATGAGCCTGGGGGCTCCGAGCTGCCCCCGGCCCCTCCTCTGCTCAGGTCTCGGTGCCTCCCTGACGTGCTTTGCCCACTCTTGTACCTCCCCCTCCATTCCCAAACCCTGTGTAGATAAAAATCCCATTTCTCTCAAGCCACGGCACGCGTGGTCCCATCCTCCCAGGGGATGTTGCCTCATTTTGAGCTCTCCAGGGTTTTTCCTCTTTCCTTCCCCCCCCCTTGTGTAGTTCCTGCTGCGACGATGACCAGCCAGCACCCCAGAAACGCTCAGAGCAGTTACCAGGAGACACCACAGGTTGCCCAAAACTGCTGCTGGAGAGTCTGCCGTGGAGAGAAGGGTCCGTGGCTCATCTCTGCTCAGAGGTAAATGCCAGCAGTGGTGTGAGAGGGGGTCCACTGCCACCCAGGGCCATGCAGGTGCCCACTGCTGGGCAGGGACACCTCCCACCAGCCCAGGTTGCTCCAAGCCCCCTCCAACCTGCCCTTCAACCCCTCCAGGGATGGGGCAGCCACAGCTTCTCGGGGCAACCTGGGCCAGGCTCTCACCACCCTCAGGGAGAACAATTTCCTCCCAAAATCTCCTCTCCATCTCCTAATTTTTGGTTTAAAACTGTTCCCCCTCCTCCTAGGGCTCCCCTCCCTCATCCAGAGTCCCTCCCCAGCTTTCCTGGAGCCCCTTGAGGGACTGGAAGGGGCTCTAAGGTCTTCATGGAGCCTTCTTTTCTCCAGGCTGAACCCCCCAACTCTCTCAGCATCCCCTCCCAGCATCTCCATGGCCCTGACTGGTTTGCACTGGAGGTAGCTCCACCCCCCAACTCTCTCAGCCCCTCTCCCAGCATCTCCATGGCCTTGACTGGTTTGCAGTGGAGGCAGCTCCTGTTCTGGAAGCCTGTGCTGCTGGTCCTGTGTTTTGGGGGAGGGGGCTGGTCATCTCAGCCTGGCTCTAGAGGAGAAAAGAAGAGCAGAGCTTTTGTGTCTCCAATCCAGGCTGGAAATCCTTCCACCCTGCTTGTAGGTCAGAAAGGAAGCTGCAGGGCTGGGAAGAGGGCGATGTCTTACTCTGTGCAATCCCAAAATCAATGCTCATTTCGTTATGTCAGACTGGGGCTGGTGGCAACACTGGGAATTAATTTTTTGGTGTAATTGCTGCAGCAGAGGTCGTTCCCCCACCGCTCCTTTCCCAACTTGGAGAGAAAATGTGGGGCAGGGGATGGCTGTTGCCCTGGAGGTGGTTTTTCAGGTTTAGGGGGAAGGGATTTAGCAGAGAAAGGGGAGACAAGGGATGGGAAGGGGATGCAGGGTGCTGTCTTGCTTGACTTTTTGCTTTCAAATCCAAAACATCAGCTGCTCTTCTCATCAGACAGGGTCTCCAAGGGGTGAAGGACTGGATTTGAGGGTGTCTGGGTCCTTGGAGGAGCCTGGCAGAAGCTCTCCAGAAATCACAGGCCTGGCTTTCTCAATCTATATGGTAATTTCGAGCAATCAGTCAGCTAAAGATGGGGAGGGGGGGGAGGCAGGAGGGATTAACCCTGCCGAGGAGGAGGAGGATGATGATTTTGTGAAAGGAAGGCCAAGGATCTCTCCCCACATCAGGGTGGAGATGGCTCTGATGGACCAGGGCTGCTGCCTCGGGCTTGGTGTGTCTCTCAAAGTGCCTGGAGCATCTCAAGGAGCCCAGACGTGGTTCTTTTCTGCTCCTACATAATAAGGATCGTTAATTAGGATCTCGCTAATGAACCACATGGTTTGTTTTCATGGATCTTGCTGATCACTAGTGATTTCTCAGCTGGGAGCAGCTCGGGGGACACGGGGTGACCATGGGGGACATGATGACACCCTGGAAAAGCCATCAGTCGATGTGATGCTGCCTTTTTCTCTGATTGGGCTGATATTTTCAATTCTTAAGACCCTTTTTCTTCCAGAAACAGTAACCCCGGGTTAAACTGTGCCCCCTCCCTCCCCAGGATGGCTGCATTAACTCATTAAGGCAGGAATGTGAAATTAGGAGTGACCTTAGGAGCACCCGGCACCTCTCAGTTTCATTGGCTTCACCTGGTGCTCCTGAAAGGCCCAAATCTCTGCTTAGTCATCCCAAAACACTCTCTCGGCACCAGAGGCTACTTCTGGCTGGGCCACGGTCTCCCTAAAAATGGCTAAAAACCCTGGCACTTTTGGCAGGAGGAAGCTGTGATTTTGGTAAAAGTATTAGGATTTATTTCTAGCTGTTATGGGGGGGAAAAAAAAAGTTGATTTATAGGGAAATTGGGCTAAGGAAAATGAGCAAGTGGATGATTTTCCAACTTAAAAGCTCTTCTGGGCGGTACCTGCTCCCGTGAGCTGCCACGGACTGGGGTGAGTTTAGCATCAATGGGGGTTTTTTTGCAAGATTTGGTATTTTGGGGGCACGTGCGGTGTCCCCAGCACCCACAC